GTTATTTGCTAATAATAATTTTATCTTCCTGATTAATATTTATCTTTCATATTTTATAAGAGAATTTATTGTAAAAGCTCATAAATTACTGTATAAAATAATTAAATTTTAATAAATATATTAACAAGATTTAGTTAATGAATGTCACGAGAAAACTAGTTAGTTTTTTAAATTTTAATCAAATTAAGATTAATATATTTAATAACATCTTTCTTTTAATACCATAATATATATTGACTAAAATCTTTTAGTCTATGTAAGTAAAATCTAAAATAAATTTATATTTTTTAAAATACTAAAGATAAAGGAAAGAATATAATTTTATTATTTTTTCATTAAGATATTCTTATCAATTTATTAGATAAAAGATAGATTATTTATATAAAAAATAAATAAATAAATTTAATATTTTAACTAGATTTTTATTAAGTTCTGTGTTTTGGTTATTTATTAAGAATTATTTTATAATTCTAAATAATATTATATGGGAATATTAATGCTAACTTGGAGTTTTTTTTATGAGAATACATTTAAAAATAATAATTTAAACCCATTAGAGCTCTAAATTTTTTTTTTAGAACTTATTAATTACTACATTGCATTTATCATGTGTAAATTAAAATTTTAAATACTGATTTATTTTTCTACCTAGGCTACAGCCCACCTCAGCCTTCTACATTCCTCCGCCTATGCCTGCATCACTGTTCTTCCAAGTCTTTTCCAAGTTATAATGTGTTAATAGCCTTGATTCCAACTCCAATGAGCAACCATCTTGATCCACAAGCCTTTTCCAGGAGCCCCTCCGTTTTCTCCCCTATACATCAATCCATGGACATTCTGGAAGGAAGACTTGTTGAAATTTCGTAATTTCCCGTATAGACGTTCAGAGTTAATCTTCTAATTATTAAGTTGATGATTTTCTATATAATTAGTTATTAAATTAAATCAGTTAGTATAGTATGTATATATAGTGTTTCTTCCTCATTCTCTAAACAACAAAATTACAGGATACGAGCTAGTTTCTAAAACTCATGATTTTTCCTTTTAGTCGGAACACCCAATCTCTTAATGTATTTTTTCTATAGTTATTAAATTTAGACCAGCCTGATAGGTTGATCTAGTGGCTAGACAGTCCAGATTAGAAAAAAAACTGATAAATATTAAAAAAAATAACAAGACCCAGTCGACTAGGTAGGTTGACCCGTGATCCGGGACACCTAGACAAACCCGGACAAGACCTGACATTTGTAATGCATAAACTGCCATTTACAAAATCAAAACTTAATTCATGAACACCAATCAACCTAACATTTAAATCCCACAAAAATTAACAGATATGAGTCAAACTCAAGAATAAAACACATATAACTTAAATAACAAGATTTGTGAGTTACAACTGACTTAAAGAAGTACACCTGAGTCAAAACAAAACAAAATAGGGCAAATAGGGTTTGAGCTATCAAATCTTTTGTTTACCTTGTGATCTACGTAAAAGGCAAGAGCGGGAGAGACAAGGAGGGAAATGAAGGCGAGGAGAGGAAGAGATCAAATAGTGGTTGCTAAGGACATGACGATCACTGGTGAAGGTGGGATCTGATGGTTCAGATTTGATCAGTTAAATTGAATCAAATCAATTTTTTCTCGTAAATCTTCTTAAAAAACAGATGAATTCTCTAACATAGCTCTGAATTTTTCTTTTCTTCTCTTTATCCTTTTAGATAGACAAACAGCGAGAGGGAGTGAAGAGAGTAATGTAAGGGAAGGAGCTCGGGATTTAATATTTGTGACTGTCTTATTAATGTTTTTTTTATTAGTAAGTAAATGATTTATTTAATTATTTATATCCAAAGCAATATAAATAAATATATATAATAAGTGTATTTTTTTATATTCCCCATCCATTTCATACAATTATAGTCAATAACTTGATTAATTATCTAAGCTACATGCAGGTTTTTATTTCCATTCATTAAAATAATTATTTTAGTTTTTTATTCAAAAAAATTATAAATGCATAAATTTTATTTTACAGTTTATAATAATAAGAAATAAACTAAAATAGAAGAGTTTTTTCACATTTTTAATGTAAAAAATTTATGTTTTTTTAAATATAAAATAAATTTTTTTTGGTTTAAATACTTTAACTTAAAAGAATAACATAATATTTTTTAATGTGAAATTTGAAATCCTTTCATATATATATTTTATATTTGTAAAAAAAATTATGTTTTTTCAAAGTAAGATAAATTTTTTAAAAAATATTTTTTAAAACTTTATTATTTACTATGTGTATAGTCTATATTCATATTAAATTTTTTTAATTTTTTTATATAAAATATTAAATTTTTAATTTTTTAAATTGATCCATCAAATTTTAGATTCAGTTTCTTAACCGAATCAATACCAGACAGGATTTCAAAACTAACATCATTCCTCTTAAAATGCTTGATTTTTCCTGTTGAAAAACGAAATTAGACGCCATCTATCTGCGAAACACGCCACGCAGGCCTAGCAACCCAGGGCGACGATGAAGGAAGTTGTCAAAGTTGACTGTGCACGCTGTCAAGCAACCTGCATCATTCATTACAGAGCACGAGCAAAGAAGAAGTTGGTAAAGAATCGTGCGCTTGAGTTGGCAGAAGCTGCAGCAGAGTAAAATTGAATAAAATATTATTGAATCATGTGAGTTTTTTTAAAAGGTAAAAAAATTAAATAAAATAATATTGAATCATGTTATATGAGTTGAGTTTTTTCAAAGGTCAAAAAAGTGGATAAAATATTATTGAATCATGTTACATGAGTTGAGTTTTCTCATAGGCCAAAAAATTAAATAAAATATTATTGAATCATGTTACATGAGTTGAGTTTTCTCATAGGCCAAAAAATTAAATAAAATATTATTGAATCATGTTACATGAGTTGAGTTTTCTCATAGGCCAAAAAATTAAATAAAATATTATTGAATCATATTATATGAGTTGAGTTTTATACAAATGTATATGTATATATGAATGGTGCATTGAATTATATTATATGAGTTGAGTTTTATACATATGTATATGTATATATGAATGGTGCGCTTGAGTTGGCCTATGAGAAAACTCAACTCATATAACATGATTCAATAATATTTTATTCAATTTTACTCTGCTGCAGCTTCTGCCAACTCAAGCGCACGATTCATATATATATATATATAGCAGAGTTGAGTTGAGTTTAACGGAAAGAAAATGAGTGAAAAAAAAATGTTGAATCATGTTGTATAAAATAGATCTTATTTCATTATTAAAAAATTAATAAATATAAATAAAAATACAAACAAAAACACTTTTATCAATAAATAACCATGAAATTTACTGACATAATATTATCTCGTTGTGTTCCTAGGTATATAGTGACATAAATTCTCCGTTTGTGTATTCTAATAAAATTATAATAGTAAAAAAAAATAAAAAGATAAAAAAATGATGTCAGTATTATTGATGAAATAAGTCTGTCATTAATATCCGTTGATAAATCACTTGGTAATATTTAAATTATGACTTAAAGAGCGATTACTCCATTTCCCTTCCTTATTTCTTCTTTTTCTTTTATTTTTTTCTATAAATAACAGTAAAATCCCTTGTTTTATCACAAATCAAAATCTCATCATCATAAATGTGGTCATCTCAACATTTAATTTCTATTTTGGCTGAATTTTTTTAAGCCTCTCTAGATGAAGGAAGCAAAACTATCAATTTTTTGTTTTAACTCATTTTTAAATATATATTTTTTTGTATTTTAATATAGTATATGTAATTTATTTGTGTGTTTGCTTGTTTTATTGTTTTTTTCTATAAAACTTTATTGTATAAATATATAATTTATACATGTTAATGTTTGTTTGAGGTTTAAAAAATTTATATTTATTTTTAATTTGATGAAATTAATATTAATTTTGTAATTTAGATTTTTTGTAATGAAATAAATAATAATTTATTTAATAGATATGTTTTATATTTTATTAGTTTTATTGTTTTTATTGTTAAGTTGAAAATTTCAATAAATATGGAGGAATTTAAATTTCTGTAAAACATTAATAATAATTTAAGAATATTATTAAAATAAATTAATATTAACTAATTTATTTAGTTCACGTACAAAAAAGAACCAATATTATCATCGTCCAACTTGACAAATGTTTATTATAATAGATGTTAATTTTTTTAATTATTAGGTTGTTGATTTAAAGTATAATTAGTTTCTTAAGTTAACTTATTTAATATTGCATGTATGCTGTTACTTTCAGTATTTAGACCTACGTAATTAACTATTAATTGCTAAAGTCTTCTAGGATTTAATGTATTTAAACTTACACAGGAGTTTGATTGCATTGATTAGCGAGTGATGTGGAAGGAGATAGACAGGGATGATAACGGTTGAGACAGCCATTTTTATTTTATTTTATTTTCTCACTTTCAATGGATAGCGAGTCTCCTCGTTTCACATGGGCTTAACCAGCCACTTGAATGTTGCGTGTTCTTACTCCTTTCCAGTTTTAATGGGTAACTTTCTCCTTACACCGAAGTGTACACAAACACCAAAAGTACGATTAATTTCTCCTTGATTGGATTCTTTTACTGCAAATATCCCCTTCAAATTAACAGAGCTTATTTTAGAAGCATAGGTACACAATTCTTGAATTCAATGGCTATCTATATAGCAGCAAAACTTGAAGGGAAACAGTCAAAAAATAATAATATACAGACGCAGAAATTTCTATGCTTCTGACTTTGGGTATCTATTTAAGCCGTCTCTCTCGGTAGCCAAATTAAGCACCTCTCTCATTAGTTTTTTCATTACTTCGTTGGTCTTAATTTCAAAGCTAGTCTTGTGCTGCATGCATGAAAATGGCCCAACCTTCCTCTCAGGCAAGCTTTACGGTGAGACGGCAGGAGCCTCGGCTGATTCTGCCTGCGAAACCAACTCCAAGTGAAGTAAAACAACTCTCTGATTTAGATGATCAGGAAGGCCTTCGTTTCCATATGCCTTTTATAGCATTCTTTCGTAATACTAATAAGAAAGGTGGGAATGAGACCTACCCTGACCCTGTGAAGGTCATTAGAGATGCACTAGCTCATGCACTGGTGTATTACTATCCATTAGCTGGTAGGCTCAAGGAAGGGGATAGCAGGAAGCTTATGGTGGATTGTACAGGGGAATTAGGGGTCTTGTTTATTGAAGCTGTTGCAGACATCACCCTTGAACATCTTGGAGATGCAATTCAGCCACCTTGTCCTTACCTTGAACATTTTCTTTATGATATTCCAGGCTCATCAGGTATCATCGGGTGCCCTTTGATGCTGATTCAGGTCAGTACGCACATATAATCAGCTTGTTTTTATTATTTTTTTCAAAGCATTTCTCTAAATGGGAAAGCAACTAGAGTAGCTAGTAACACCGCATTTAAATTACGATTGCAAGTTCAAATCCCAAACTTGCTTCTTTTAATCTAAATCTTGGATTTGGAGATCGTTTAAGTATATATCATCTGATTTATTAAACAATTTGGTGGAAAAAAAAATGGGGAGGATCCTTGGAAGGTTTATTGGGTTTTGTACTACATAAAAGAACAACGTTATCAACGTAAAGACAAATCAATCAGCTCATCAGATGGTCAGATAATTATCATTAACATTGAAAAAACAATTATCGTTGTTGTTCTAGGTGACCAGACTGACATGTGGAGGATTCATCGTTGCAACACGAGTGAATCACACCATTACTGATGCACTTGGGATATTCTATTTCTTGAACACAATTGGAGAAATAGCAAGAGGTGCCAATGAACCATCTTATCGCCCTGTATGGAAACGAGAGATCTTGAATGCACGAGACCCTCCTCGAGTAACATGCGTCCACCGTGAGTATGACACCACTGTTGGCACCGGAGCAACCATGGACACCCACGCCGACTTGATCGATAAATCCTTCTTCTTTGGCTTCCAAGAGATCAATTGCATTAGAAAACACCTTCCTTCTCACCTTCAATCAAGTTCCACGTTTGAGGTACTCATAGCTTGTATATGGAAATGTCGCACAATTGCAACTGAGCACAAACCTAACGAGATGCTTCGTGTATCATACATGGTCGGCGCGGGCGGTAAGCGAGGCATAAAACTGCCTCCTGGATACTATGGTAATGCATATGCCATGCCGTCTGCAATTTCCAAAGCTGAACTAGTGTGTAAGAACCCATTAGGTTATGCACTTGAGCTGGTCAGAAAGATTAAGACCCAAATGTCAGAAGAGTATATGCGTTCAGTAGCGGACTACATGGTGATCAAGGGACGACCTCATTATTCAACAGCTGGGCACTTCATAGTCGCAGATTCATCGCGTGTCCCATTTAGAGAAATTGATTTTGGGTGGGGAAAACCTGTGTACGCTGGTGTAGCTAAAGCTGCTCCAAACACGAGTTTCTGTGTGCGGTTCAAAAAGAGCACAGGAGAGGATGGGATTCTGATACAAGTGTCTTTGCCATTGCAAGCCATGGATAGGTTTGAAAAGGAGTTGGCAAAATTTACTGGGGAACGGCCTATGCATGTTACAGGTGACAAGAAGCATGCAATCATCATATCCATGCTTTGAGGTGATTGCAAGTGACAGACTGCAATCTAGATGGAGATAGAAACGTATTTTTGTAAACATAAATTTCAAAACCAAAAACTGATGATAGCAGAAGTTTATGATAAGAATTTACTTATTAAATCCCACATGATAATAATTTATCCATCATATGAGTGTGTAATGTCAAGAGTGTTGTGCATTTCTAAACTTGTCAATGCCGCTACGTACCAGAATAGAGCACATACCACACAGGGCTGCAGCCCAAAGAGCAACTGCATGATAAAAACTGCCCAGTATTCTATGCCTGGATTGACGACCAGGGAGACACCAATACTTTAAATTATGATGTCCGTTTGAGGACCATAGGATTTGCTCGAGCTCATAATTTGCATTTTTTCCAAATCGATTGTCGCCTAGAGAATCTTTTTAAATCAATGTTAAATTGGAATGTAAAGTTTCAGTCGCAGTGCTCAGATGGCACCCAACAGCTTCTCCTATCTTTGAGAATCACAGAACTGTGGAAATCCACATTGGCAAGGACCTCATAGTTCCTGCAGGATTCAAGCTAATCAGTCCGAACATTTACAGATTACAAAGAGATCATGGTAATTAAGTATTCTGGTGTTTTTCTATAATTAAATAATGATATTCTTTCTGGAGATAAGTTGAAATGAATAATATCGATCATAAATGGAATGGATCCGATAGTTAAATTTTCATGAGAAAGACCTCTTAGAAAAGTCGTCAAGGATAAATACAATTACAAGTAGAAATTGCGTAGTTCTCTTAAGATAATTTTCCTTCTTGCTATCAAAATAAAATAAGAAAATATAGAAAAAAAATTAAAGTTCCTTCTTTGAAGCAAGTTTCAAGTCTAATTTAGCACTCATATTTGTTAAAAAAATAATTCTCTAATTGCATAACCAGTTTATCATTTTTTAAATAATAATTATAAATCCTAGGAAAGTCAGAAGAACAATTACACATGTTTAAAATACAAAAAAGATTTATCAATTTAGGTAGAAACTATGATCATCCGTATAATACGCTGCCGTCTTTTCATACCAATTCACATTAGCCAAACCAATATTTGATTGATTTCCTTCATATACTAAATGATTTTAATACATCAGGCAGAATCAAGCATCGCTCATACTATTCTCAGCGAACATTACAGCAAGCAACACCATTTACAATAGCCTGCATTTAAATACCACAGCTTCTTTCTTTTTATGGAGAATTTGTAGGGGACAGACTTCTACAAGCATCCCCACCAATGCACCATACTCGACTTCGACTTGGTGTTGCAATTGCCGAGCTTGTTCTGGCTTCGCTGTATGAGAGTTCCTGATCAGAAATATGACTGGCGTTGGATTCGCGGTACTTTCCATCCACGTTATTCATCTCATCGATGATAAGTGAGTGTGGGACATGAAGCCCATGAACTGGAGTCTCCACGTACCCCAATGAATTTAGTCCTGGAAAGCAAAAAGTGGCCGCAGGAGAACTGGGATTGGTCAATGAATCTTCTTGCATAACGTCTGCTATCCTAGACAGAATACTGAATGCCACGTTTCCAAGAACCCGTGAATATGCTTCCAAGATTGCATGTCCCACGTCCTACAGAAATAGCAACCACAATCATACACTTTTTTTCCAGCCAAGAAGTGATTTTTCCAATCAAGAAATGGAGCTCACCTTGCCATATTGGACTTTTGTAGAATCAAGAAATGTTTGAGGAAGGTTAGGATATCTGCTCTTTAGCAGCTGTAGAAGGGATTCCGCACAGTCCAACAGTGACTCCATCTTGTCAAACTCTGACACTGGGTCCTTAACAAAGGACCATGATGTTCGAACTGGAGATCTACCACTGACTTGCGCAGTAACTCTCTCTTTCCATGCAAATATGGCAGCTTCTAACTTGTTAACAGCCTCAAGAGCACTGTGTTCTGATTTTAAATCAAGAGAATTGAGCATTTCCTCAGCTGTGTTTGAATCTGCAGTCAACACCTTGTACAGTTCCTCACCAAGGTTTGCTTTTCCAGACTGTAATAAGGACAGCAGAAGTTATAGCAAATGCCACTAGGAAGGCAGCATTCAAAAACTAAATCTGCAACTCTCTCATTCATAGTGGAAAACCTGAACTATCCCTGAACAAGGTAAGTGTCAAAGGTTGACTAGCTCAAAACAGAATTCCCACGTAAACATGTTCATGTTTCCCTTTACTTCATGTTTGGCAGCCATTCATAGCATGATCAAAAAACCAAAAATAACAAGCCTGGATAAGTAGATTTTGTGACAAAACTGACAGTAACAGGTTTTCTTCTGCTCAAATGAGCTGAAATTAAATTCTGACAGGATCTGTTTTCATTTTCCACCAGCTGAAGGTATCTTCAAGCTTAAATTTCACTTATTATGAAATAGATAGACCAATCTTACCTTTGGTAGTGCATCCTTGATAATAGTCGGCACAGGCATTTCAAGCAAAATAGTTTCATTGACAGATTTGGCAGCCTTGAATACTTGATACACCACCGTACTCTGATTGAGTAATTTCTTTCTTGCTGAGTCAGAAAGCCCAGTTGCTGATACTTGTGGCAATGGAAGCCACCACCTCTTGCTCTGCTTTGCGCTCTTGGTTCTTCCTTCTGCCCGGCTGCCTACTTCTGAGTACCAAAACTCAGTATTCACCATTGCATCCAGTGTGTCCTGTCAGAAATTGAAAATTCAATGCAACTAGCATGAATATTATCTCTGTAAATGAATCTCAATTTTAGGAATTAAGAGATCACCTACAATAAGCATAGAGTCCAACTTCTGAAGTGCTGGAAGATTCACATGGATGTCTGCACGGGCTTTTGGTGTCATTATCTGCTTCAACATCAAGGGATAATTATATATCTCACCAGTTAATAAAAAACATTATTTTATTCTTTAAAGTTCCGAAATGACAAAGAATACCTCTAGCATCCGACCATTGGCACAATTTTGCTTAGCAGGAACTAACTCAACCATGTAGTTTGTAGGAGAAAGCAACCAGTCCATTTCTCTTTGCCATTTGGTCTTTCTTTCTTCAGGCAATGGCTCCAATTTCCATAGCTCCCCGAAAACAGTGGCTACAACACATTTAAAGCATTTAAAGGGTTAGTTAATGAAAAAAGAAATTATGCACAAAACATGATCCAAGACTTAGGAGGAAAGTACGACAAAATTCAAAGCCTGATTAAGTGAAACCAAAAATCATGAAGTGAATTTTGGTGCTAGAACTTAAGACTATATCCATTCAAACTTTATGTTTACATAAAACAGCATTATTGCATCTTCTTCTTCTTTTCACTGATTTGAGGACTTCAATGAATAAAATCCCCATTTAAATCATGAAGTGAATTTTGGTGCTAGAACTTAAGACTATATCCATTCACACTTTATGTTTACATAAAACAGCATTATTGCATCTTCTTCTTCTTTTCACTGATTTGAGGACTTCAATGAATAAAATCCCCATTTTAATCTGCAATTTTTCCATCTATAACTCCTTATTTCCCAATGAAGTACATTAGTCAATCACAACTGTAACACGTAGAGAGATGGCATGCTTAAACATTAACTGGTCATAGGGAAACAGGATCATGTGAAAAAAAAATTCATAAAATGATAAGGATTACAGAGAGCAACTAAAGCATAACCAGCTCATGGTTGAACAAAAGGAGATTCATCATACCTGCAAGATTTGTTATAGCATTAGATAATGCCAATGCTGTGCTGAGGCCACTACGCCCTCCTGTGATGTCTTCACCCAGTAACAGTTTTGCAAATTTTTCTTTCATTGTCTCCACATCTGAATATTGAATGGAGTAACACGGTTTCTCCTTATCATAAAAATGTTGAGGGCTTCCAGCAAGCTCCCAATCATTCAAACCATGTTCATCCTTCTTCATTGTCAACCATTTAGATGAAAATGATCCAAAAGCATCTTTGCTGGAAGAACAGCTTGAACAACCATCATCATCGAAGGAGTCGCTTACACAACCCTCTCCTCTACTTGTCCCGCTTTCATTTTCATAAGACTGGTTATTTATAATGCAACTCTCAAGGCCATTATATGTCATCATCCCTGAAATCCATTTTACAAAATAGTTTTTCCATTAAAATGCATTGATCAATAAGAAAAGCATACAACTGAAGTGAAGCTTTCGAAAGATCAACACTTTTTGTGGGTTGCACAAGCTTGTTGGTTTTGGACATGTTAAGAATGCACCCAACAAATAATAATTCAAACAAGGTAAACTCTTGTTGAAATATGAATTCCTTGGTACAAAGGATAACATTATTGTTAAGAGTTTCCACAAGCATGCCAGCATTTACTACTTTACAGAAATAAACAAATTGTACAGGCCTCATCATGGGATTTTTTATACATCCAAACATGTAATCAACATAGATAATGCCCAGAATTTTTAGCACGAGTAAATTCCATTTACAAGATTAATCCTAAGATCCAAAATCTGGTTCATTTCTTCACAACATAGTAGAATCCAAATAAGGCTTCAATAAATCATGGTGACACATTTGCATATCAGGCTTTAACCAAGGTCAAGTCTCTTATCAGAAGTCACACATGAAATTCTGATACTGCCACTAGTTCTGCAAAGCTACTTCCATTTTTATTTTGGCATAATTCAAATGGCTTAACTACTAACCACATTTTGTGACTGTTAGTGGCACTCGATACCAAACAAGTGGCTACGCTAAAAATCAAGTGGTATGCTAAAATAATGAATCGTATCTCTTTCTCAACCACTAAAGATCTAGCAGCAATAAACCTTGAATTCTAGGCATACGAGTGTGGCAGGTAAGTTGTCAAATTTGTCTCTGTTTCTGGCAATATAGGTTTCAGCACATGCAGATCCAAGTGCTTTTTATATTGATTATCGTCCCTAATTTTTAGTCTTCCCTTAGATACAAGTCAAGGGTTCAGCCTCCACCAGCCAGGTGTCAGAACTTTGTCGGTATGAATAAGA